ATTAAAATAGTCGGCGGGCTGCTGATTAAGTTTTCCTTTACGATAGACATAATTAAGGGTAAGCGTGAAAGCCTTTAATTGAGTTTTCTTCGGGGCGCTCCTCAGTGCCCCTTGCAGCTCTTAGGATTCCCAGGACGTCCTGTTGAGAGGACTCGGCTGCCGCTTCGTCGCCATCTTCTTGTGGCAGCTACCACTTTTTGTGTTGATGGATTAATCTCTATCACATGTAAACAATTCACGTGCTCGCAGTTGCCCTTGTTGTTGCGGCTGACGTTGTTTTTCAACACTTGCTACTGGTTTTCGCCAGGATTTTGCGCTGCCGGGTTGCATCATAAAGTCATTTGAGCATATAAATTGCACTTTTATGCTCCGCGCCTGTCCCACAAACACAATTACGCCGGCACGTGTGTGTGTGTGTGTGTGTGTTCGTGTGCTAGCAAGCAGTAGAAAGGATGTCAGCGAAAGAGAAAGCCGAAGAGCTGAGCGCTTAACAGCACTAGACCTGAAGCAGTGCCACAAACTCAAATTTAGACATTAAATTTAGCTCTTTAGTTAGTGTGTCGGGTTTATATTGAACTACACTTATAGTTTTTTTCACTTGAGTTTTCTTAGTACCGCGCCTGCGAAAAGTCACAGACTGCAGTGCGTAATTACAGCAAATCATTCGCATCTCAATCGCCGATGGCCTTAATTACACTTCTTCAGTGCCATTGTGAGTGCAGCTTTTGGGGCATATATCAGCTCTTTGCCTGCAGGGCTGTCCAAACAGTCCAAACAGCAGCGGGCTAATTAACACAGGGAGGCAAGCGGGGGGTGTGGCAGTGGCAGTGGCAGTGAATGCGGTGGGAATTCCCCGGTGCCACAGCAGCCAGAGTTATGCATTAATAATGCCATCGCAGAGCAGCCCAAAAGCCAAAAACAGCAGCCAGCCAGTGTGCAGGCACACACGCAGGACACAGGCTTTTGTCATCGGCATGTTGCATACTTTTCTGGGCAAGTGCAACATGCAACAATGGCGCTGCGTCTGGCCAGCAACAAATTATAATGCAATTGCAAATTCTGGTCGTTTGTTCTGTGCTGCGTCTGTGTGCGTGTGCGTGGGCGAATTTATGCGTTTCTCTGCATTTCCTGCATTGGAATTTACTTGGGGTTATTACCCATGCTACGGGCCATCGGAGCGGCATAAATGCAAACTGCAAGCTGGAATTGTCCTGCCCCAACGGCCAGGAAACCCCACCTTTCCCCCCTGTCCCCACAATCATTGTGGCATTTGACATTTTTCCGCCAATTGTTTTCGGGCCGGATTTTCAACACTTTTGCTCGGCTGCTGCGGTCTGCCGCATTTCATGATGAGTATTTAGCCCATCGCTTTGAGTGAAGGGAATCTCCACTGACCTTCGACCTTAAGTCGAGAAGTTTTCTGTAAGTCCGACAATTATTTTGTTTCTTTCTCAATAGCAGAGAGTTCAATGTCGAAAACAGACGTCTGGGAAACTTATAAAAACTGAAAAGTGCCTGGCCAACTGAAACAATTGTTGCAACATGTAAGAGCTCAAAAGGATTCGGCTAAGCGATGTACAGCTTAAGTGGTATTTTATTTAATTCCAAAAATTGAATATATAGCTTTGCTGCATTTCCCTTTTCAAGAATAGTGTGCTTCTAAAATTTCATTCATTTACAATACAAAGCTGTAGAGCATGTTGTAAAGATTTCCTTAAATTTAGTTTCTATTGTTATGGACAAACGTTATATTGTGTTAAATCGATTTTAGTTGACCTTCGACAAAGTTTAGTTTGGGTTATTGGGTGTTGATGGACGCATTGAGCAGTCTTTTCCCGTCACTTCATTAAGCATGCTCGCCTCGCTCCAAAAAGCAAATTTAAGCAACTTGTTGCAATTACAATACTGTTGATAGGAAAACTTTTAATCGGCTTAATGCGTAGCGAAACTATACAACTAATTCCTCGGTAGGCAAAACCGATAACAGCAACACAACATCCACGAACGACCGAAACTTTGTGGTTTGAACTCGGTGGCACTCACACTCGATTCTTCAGTAACATGTACTTGCGTTGCATAATCACAGCAAATAGCATGCTGATAGGTCTCAATTTGTTGTACAATTTGTAAATAAATGTTCGAATTAAAAGAATTCGGGAAATCTTTGTCAAGACATTTTCTTAGCTGGTAGTATATATCTCTGGCCTTGCGATTGTTAGCAATTGTTAGATTTTATTTATACATTTATTGGATTGGATTGATTTACATTTTCAGAATGGCGATCATACTTTAGTATTAGTAATTTGTTTACTCGTGTCCCAACTTCTTCATATCTATAGAGAGTGCCATCACTGCCGCACATAGCTGAGTATGCATAAAAGTGTAATAGTACACAATTTCAATGCCTGCACAAACTTTAATTAAAACGACTTTGCCGAGCGGTAAACATCAGTGTCCCAGGCGTCAACCGCACACAGCTACATATGCGCACGCTCACCCAGCAGAGTGCTACGTGCAACCCAATAGATACGCAGATACACGACACGGGGCTCCTAATGAAGTGCATGAATGCCTTAACAAGATGGAACCGAAATCTATGTGTACTGTGTGCGTGCCCATAATCATTTTGATGGGCACGTAAAATTCAAACTAAAATCAGTAGGACGCTGGCAAACGATGACGCATCTGCCGGGGGCAAGGGAAAATTCGGCGGAAAAACAAGATGAGACGAGACCGAGTGGCAAACTAATAAAATAAAATGGTGGAACTGCCACGAAAACCAAGTCAGGTCCCAAATCGGATGCTAACCGGATGCGCAAACTTTGGCCTCCGTTTAATAATATTTATTCTAATTGCTTGGGCGGCATGTGGCTGCCATTATCGACTAGCAAAAGTCAATTTAAACGCCCTACTTGTTGATACATGCCATTTTAAAATGTTTCTTCCACGACTTTCCACATTAAAGTGCAAATAGTTCTGCCATTGATCACACAAGCGCCCAGAACACACAGTTTTGGCGAACGTGCCCCGAATTTCTGTCCGCAAACTGCTGACCTCAGTTGTTGGGCAAGACTTGACCTGAAGCCAAAGTAAAACTCCATTGAGCTTGTGGTTTGGCTGGCTCAGTGATTAACCGCAAGCAATAGAAGCCGGTGGCCAAACGTTGACTTATAATGACTGCATCTGTGCGATAATTCAAGGCAATAATTGGGCGTTTACTCATATCAGCAGCAGATATGCATCTCCCTAACTCAAAGCCATGCCCATAACAATTGGCCATTAAGTCGGCCCACTCTCACGCGATATCTTGGGCGTACTGCTAATTAAAGACAAACAAAACTCTTTAATGATAGCAATGGGGCGGAGGGAAGGGGGAATGGCAGGCACTTAAAGTTTTATGAAAATTGAAAGGAAAATATTTAATTATGAATACAGGCAGCAGACGGAGAATAAAGCGTAAAAACGTTTAACCTGTTGAAGACAACGAGTGCAAAAGCCCCGAGCAAATATAACAGCGGCTACATTGTTCTGGTTACTCAGGGAAAACCATTAAAAATACTGCAAATGATGTTCCCACAATAGATTTTCCCTGCTGATGCGGGCTGAGAAATATATTAATTAAATCTATTAAGAAATCCGTAAGTAATCAAGCAAGTAGTCCCATTCTGTACTTTTTTAAATGCCCTAATTTCAAAACGTCTTAATAAAATTGGAGTAAATCCGCATAGTTACGAATATGATTAATACTAATATTGCTCTCGTATGAGTTGAGAGAAAAGGTTCCAGGGGAATAAAAGTTTAGGAACGCCTGCAAAACTAAATAAACGCCTTGGGCGTCTCGCCTGACATACCAATTAGGCTAATACTCTTGATTATGAATAAATTGCCGCAATGGAGGTGGTTGGGTGGGGCAATAAAACCGGGCGATGTGGGGATTATTAAGAAGCGGGTGGCGATGGCCGAACCATTTAAAGCTCATCAATTCAGGACAAAGCAGCGCGTTGAAAACAATTGAGCAGTTAATGTTTGTTTACCCCACGTCCGCAGGAATAAAATGCGAGCGAAATACAAAAGCAGATACTAGAGGGCGGACTAAAGTGAATTTAAAGGAAAAATCCCATTTGCGACTTTGCTTTTCGCTTTTCGCCCATCGCTTTTCCTTCCTTTTATTCTGAGGGCATTTTTCGGGCAACGCGCCGCAGGCAGAAACTTTTCATAATTGAAATAAATAAAATACAGCCAAGACTAAACTGGAGAGTATATTGTATATTCTTGGGTACGCTGGGGAAATCCCCCGATGAGCGGCCATCTATGTTTGTGTATCAATGGAAACTCATTTATTTCGAGAATATTTTATAAAATGCGGATTCGTTTTATGCCCGCCGGACTCGTTTGTTCAGAAATTTAATCAAGCTTCGGCCAGCCGGGCGGCGAAAATAATTTTCACAAATTCTTATACGCATTTCATTTGCCACACCGTCCTAGCTCCAGCCCCGCCCCCTGCTACGCCCACTCTCTTTGCCGCTGGCATGCAAAGCGTTTTTTAATCCCCGGCAACTTCTGGCTGCCCGAACAAACGCATTGGCCAATTTGTGGAAAGCTGCAAAAAAGCAGCGTCCAAAGAAAATCCGATCCAAAAATGAATAAGTAGAGCTGAAGGTTGAAGGCCATGCCACAGCCCTGTGGCAATTGCAGGAGTTGCAGCACCACGAACATTGACAAATGGGGCGAGGCCACTGGCCAGATTACTCGACCATCTGTAAGTCCAGCTGACGAGCGGAAAGTTGCTCACTTTGCGGCAATTATCATAATGAGTGTGGCAGCTGAAAGTATCAGGATTTATCGACAACTTGCCAGGTAAATTAATCTGCATAAGGAAAATGTTCAATGGATGTCAGTCAGGCAAAAATCAGCAAGTACATCCAACACATTCTCCTTTAATAAACTTAGCATAAATATACAATTATTACTTAATACGTATTTCTTATACATATATTTTTAATAATTTCTAATCATTTCACGCAAGTACAGCAAGACTTTCCTTTCTTCCTTGGCCGATCACTTTGACTTGCCTTGTCCATTGGTCGTTGATTCCTCGATCTTTCAACCTCACATATGTCAAACTCGAACTGCTTAGGCATTTTGGCGGACTTCAGCTTCGTTATCAAGCACTGAAAGGCGAAACAAAATGCAAATAGTATGACTATGATGCAGCCCAAGCACACCAGCAGTATGGGCATTTTCCATAGCACTTCTTCTTCTACAGCATTTCTAGACTTCAGGTTTTTCTTTATAAAACTATAGCACTCATCGGCACTCATTAGGTCAGCTCCGTATGTACGCTCGCCTTTGAAAGTTAGAAGATTGGGGAAAAACCTTAGGCGGCTTTCGTCGCATTTATTTGTGAACCAATTCATGTTGCCTCACTATTTCAGAAGTACGAAAATAAATTTTACTCCCAATGTCGAAGTATCTAACAATGACAATTGGTGCTTTGTAGTTTTTGGACGCTCGTTGTTTGCTAATTATCGCATTTTTGTACCAAACCAACAAAGTAAACACATTCAAATGAAGTAGAAACAAATTTGTAGATTAAGCAAATGCAATACATAGTATTATGCATACATCCTAATATTTTAATCCCGCCAAGCAGCCAAAGATGTGAGCTTTACTAAGTAACGCCATTTGACCCCTGCTGAAACCCCTTTAGAAATAATTTGAGTAAGCCACCATAAATCTTGGGTTTTAAATTTCCTGACACACACTAAGCCCAAAATTGAAAGTCGAAGGCAAATGTTTGCGATAAACTACCTGGGCAACTTAAAGCGAAAGTCGAGGGCATTCCCTTGACTATTTGTTGGGTACTTTGCCAACACAACTAAGTATGTTGATCCAATCAGAGGGAGCGGAGCGGCCATATCCAAGATGCAAGGCGGTAGACCCAAACCCCAGATTTGGTGAATATATTTTCCCAGGGATTTGCGGCAGGATTCGTCGTCGTCGTCTGTCAACTGTCATCGGCTGTGGCTCGGTGGCTCACGTTCCGACCTCTAACCCTTGGCGACTATCGTGTGGCCGGGACTTACTTTTATTTATTTCCATATTATTCGAGCGGCAGCGCGCTGCTCTACTTTCAATAACTGTGAATAAGACCGAATGAATGAACTGCTAACCTTGCCGCTGGCTCGACACTCGGTGGCTCGGTGGGTGGTGGGTGGTGCTGGGAAATGAGGCGCTCGACTTTTCCTGCGCTGCTTTGTGTTCGGTTTATTAAAATATACATTTTCCTTTTTCATTTGGCTTCCCTTCTGTGCGCAGCATTCTATTTGGCAGTGCCTGCTCTCTACTCTTTAGCCTGGTAAATTTTGCAGAAGGAATCTTCTTTATTTTCTTTTTCACGTCGCCGCAGGTCAAAATGTCAGCAAAGCTGGACAATATACTAGACGTACAGTAATTACTCGCAAATTTCCTACTTTCGTACAGCTTTTAAATTAATTACTCAACATTAGGCATTTCACATAGAATCAAAGTGGTTGCATTTTTTCATTAAGCACTGTTTTCCAATTTTAATTATATTCTATATGTATAATATTTGGCTTTTACTTTTGATTCGAAATAACCCCTAATGTATTTAGTTTCGTTAACTTTTTTAAGCAATATTTATCTCAAGTTAAGTAACCTCTGCTTAAAGACCACTGTGTAGCTCTGCTGGTTGATTTAATTTTTGTATTTATTTTAAGGCCTGCGGCTTTTGCATATTTCATGCGCATTTGCATGTTCCTTTCCGAGCCTGCTTCGCCCTCGAAGATTTATTTGTCAGATACGCTCTTTTATTTGATTTATGAAGGCGGCCCATATCCTCCATCGACCAGGTTATCTGGTCGCCGATAAGCTGGAGGCTTTGAGCTGCCCATGAGAATTGTGTCAAACCTCTGAACCTCAGATTCAGCTCCCCGTCGGGGATTGTCTCCCTCATCCTGCAATGACTGCTGTTCGCTGAAGTCCGTGGTCCAGATTTCCACCTGCTCACGTGCTCATCTGCCCACTCGAGATGCCCGACAAAAGGCCACTGGATCCACTGCAGCCGGTGCTCTACATTGACCACTGCCGCTATCGCCAAACTTATCGCAAGCAAGCCCTGCATCTCCATTCTTCGCTGGCGGAGGCTCTGAAGGCCATTCAGCCAAGGGTTAAGCTCCAGCTAAGGATCAACGACAAGGGACCGCCACAAGATGGATCCTTTGAGGTTGCTGTTGCCCCGCAGCCAACCGACGATTCCAGGGCCCGCCAAAGTGTGTGGACTGGGCTGAGGCGGATGCCCAGTGCATCGAAGGTTCCCCATGTGGACGACATTCTCACCCCAGTTTGTTTCGCCCTCCAGCTGAGGGATCCGCACAAGGAATCCCATCGCCGCATGCTGACCAATTTGCGGCACAACGAGGGCAGTCGCGCCAGGAGGAGGGATATCAAAAATGTCTTAAATAAAACTTAGTAAACAATGTCATACCGTGCAACATATTGAATTGTATTGTTCATTTTCATCCCACTTACTATTCCACCAAAGGTAAAGTATATTTAAAATTCCTGTTTCATGGCGTTACCAATTACGCACGAAGGAACAAAAAAGCGAGCTCATCATGCCGCTAATTTTTTGGTTAATCTGCCAAATCTGCCGCCAAGTGAATTTCGTTTCTAGGCAGACACCAAAGATAACACCAAGCCCCTGAACTAATGAAAAGACAAACTCCGCGCCGAGGAAAATGCACTTGGCGGATGTGTAACTGCTTACAGGCGGCAGTTATGGCAGTTATGGCAGTTATGGCAGCGCCAGAAAATTGCAAGAGGCAGCGAAAGACCTCCGCCCGCCCCTTTCCTTATTTCCTGCTCATTTTCGGCGGGGGAGTTGCCAGTTAAGATTTTCGCCTCGTTGCAGGGATCTTTGGAGGAGCGACAGGAGCTCAAGTTGAGTGCTGCATTTCGGCTTCATTGCATCTCGGTGAGCACACAGTGGGCGATAGAGGTCTGCTCAAGGAAGCCGGGCAAGGAGCGGCGAAGGACATTAAAAGGCAGTGAGGGCGCTGCGTTGCAAGCCAAAAAGCACAATAAATCCCTGCCCTGCAAGTAGTTGTATGTTATATTTTCGTTGCCAAAGTATTCGCTGCCTGACGGACCGTCTTTGCCGGAGCGTTTGCTTTCGTGACTTAAGTTTTCAGCACACACATTGTATGCACTCACACACACACACGCACACGCACACTGGCAGCGCACGCATACTCATTTAACTAGGAAGCACAAACAGTCGCCGCAGGATACGCAGCTACAGTGGCACCAAAAATGTGTGTGCTCATAAAAATGCACCTGCCATAAGGTACTTGGCTACATTCCCTATTTACTTGTACATTTTTCAATGCCTTTTTAAAGCAATAAGGAATAAGGATATTACCTTTTCAAAATGCAATCAACCCTCTGACCTTCAAGCGTGTTTTTCTTCCTAAATAGTGAGCTCTTCGATCAATTGAATATCAGTTTCTGCAAATATCGCTTAGCCGAACATCACCGCTTCACTGTTCGCCGCTTCGTGGGTGAGTCCTGACAGGACTTGCCGGTCACGTTCCGAAAGGCAGCATAAGTAGTGGAAAACGGCAGCATATTAATCTTGCAACCAACAACTGCTAAAACAATAGCAAACAGCAAAGGCCGCGAAGACATTGCAGCAGTAGCACTGTACTGTGTTGCCAGCTTTTCCTTCCGCCAGCAAACGGAACATGAAACTAAATCGTTTGTGCCCTTTTTATTTTCCATTTTGCTCCAAACTAAATGAACTTCATTATAAGTAAGGCGTCTCTGGAGTTGCATTTCTTTGTCGGCGGCTGCTTTCTCTGGCATTCTTTTGTTTTAGCATTTTTGGCTTTCGGTTTCAGTGTCAGTATAGTTAACACAAATGGCGCGCTTTGTTGCTGTCTGGCTGCAGAAGCTGTTGCCAAAAAAGGATGCAGACTTTCGAGGAGTCTGCAGGATTTTTGACAGCCCGGCATCACGTTCCCATTAAAGTTTGAGCGTAAACTGCTGATGTTCCTTATTTAAAGATAAGTTCAGTGTGTTTTAGTCCAGGAAGTCAAAGAGCTGCAGCTTTACCATAGTTAGTTAAACCAATCCATCCCATTTAGTCTAGTCAGTAAATCAGATTTCACTCATTGAAACTGCTCTTGCGCCACTTTTTTCTTGACACTCCATTTTCGCTGTTTTAATAAACTTGGTGTCATTTACATTTTTGCTTCTACTGCAAATATTGAAATATAAGTGAAAAAAATTAGAAAAAAGTATAAAAGAGGACAGAATGCCAGGAAGGCGAGTTTTATGCTGTTTACGCACATTTTGCCAGAAAGAACTTTACTACGCTTCTTGGACAGCAGCTCCCCAGATTTTGCATGGAAAAAGTGCAGAGTGCATGTAAAATGATTTTAATAATATTTCAAATTGACATTGTCGATGGTCCTGATGACATTCAATTAGTGAGCAACACTTTTTCCAGCTGCAACAAATGATAAGTGATTGGTTTCTGGCTTAGACGTTTCTCCTTTTCAATTTTGTTGCACTGCATGCGCAATGTTCAACTTACCCCATTAATCAATTTGGAAACCCTTGTTGGTTATCATTTTTCTTGGATGTCATACAGATCACTCCTTGCAAAAACGTAGAGAGAATACCATTCCTGGCATTTAATTAAGACTGAGAACATTCTAACCCCAAAACACTCAATTAAATACGTGCTTATATTTTGAAATTCAGGTCAATCTCTCAATTCGTTTAAAAACTTCATTTATTTTTCTTGCATATTCATTGATGTATGGCTGAAAATATACAGTACGCACAATACGAATTGAACGCGTTTTCAACAAAGGAAACGCTATTCAGCAATAGAATACAATTTATAGACGACAAACATTTTTAAACGTACTGAACAAAGAGGCAAAGTTTTGAACTGGCTAATTGGCATTGAATTTCATTTAATTTTTTGTTGCGTCAGTTTTGGTCGGTTGCGCGATGCATTGTGCAACATTCGGTGGATATTGATGGCGTTCCGATAACAATAATCAGGATTGTTGACAGTCCACTGGCTTAATTGATAGAGTTAGCGTTGCTACATGCCGCAATTTGGCCGCGCCTACAATTCCGCTTTATTCAGCGTTGTTTTCAATCACTCGTAAGCTGGCAGGCGATATACTTGTACGACTATCAAGATTTTCAAATAAAAAATAACAGAGGAAATGTCGCCGCAGAGTCAATTTCGATTTCAATTAAAAGCAGCAGCAGGGAATTCGCAATATGCCCAGAATGCAAATACCAATTTTGACATTTTTCCAGACCAAAAGTGGGTGGCTGGGTGCGGCCAAGGTGAGCGAATCGAAAAGGTCACTCGCAAACTGCTGACCGACTGACAAGCTTCGCAATCTCTGGCAGTCAAGCGTGAGGCTTTTTCTGATGGTCAAGACATAACGAGATGCATCGTATCGAATTCCCAGGGGATGTCCTTCAGTGGGAATCGCCCAGCTTAAAGTAGAAGATACGTCAGCAAGGCAATATAAATGTTCCGCACAAATTACATCCGCATTCTATCAACTTTTGTAAGTGTATTATTAAAATAGGGTTTGTAAATAGAATTACATCAATATCAAAATATTTATTTAGAACAAAGTTCGTTGAACTGTATTAAAACTATCATATTTTGGGCTATCAAACTAATTAGATGAAAGTCATATAAAGGCCAAACTGGTTGGCCAATAAAGCGATAATTACAATTTTAAATTGTGATTACCAATTTAGCAAGCTTATTAGCCTTTTGCATAATATAAGCCATGCTGCAAAATTCATATCTCTTATTAAGCCAACTCGTGAGCAGCTAAATTGTTTTTCTAAAACCAAAGCCATATATTTCGAGCAATCCCAATGTCAGTCCTTTATCGCTGCTCCACATGTCGCCCAAATCGGCCGGCGATTCCCCAAAGGATTCGCCACAAACACACGCACAAATATGACAACGACAACAACTACAACTGGTCCTGTCCAAGTGTCATTCCGTCATGATCTATGGATGGGAACATAAATTTTGAGTGCTCAACTCGGGGGCGTGACGGCATCCAGCAGCGGACATCGATGCTGCGGCGAGAATCGAATTGAAATTTGAAATTTCAAAAGTGATTACAACTATACTCGGCTGGCAGGACTCGCGCGGTTGCGAATTTCAGGCGCTAAAAACTGATTGCCGGAAACGACTGTAATTGGTTGCACATGCAACCTCCAAGGGGGCGGTGTTTTTTGTTTTTCGCTGGGATGCGGAAGTGGAAGTGGAAGGGGAAGTGGCTTAGCGCTGATTGGGTGGCCTCCACATGGGCATTGTGGCTGCAGCGGTTTCGCTGCAGTTTTTAGCATTATTGTTATTATTTTGCGGCGAGCGGAGAGCGCTTGTTAATGATTTATGCATTCATTGTGCATAGAAATGACATTGCAGTTGTGCGAGCAAAGTGTGTGTGGTGGGGGATCCCCTGCTAGTTTAAATGCACATTTGGGGCACTTTCGGGGGGCGGGCAGGGGGGTGGTGGCATCGCAATGCAACCGCATTGCTGTCGACATCCTCGACTTCTGTGATTTATGCTGCTTTTGGCCATTAGCCTAACACTCTTGTAGCGCCAACAGTGCAGACTTAACAGTGGCCAGGACATCAGGGAGAACAGAGTTTTGAAAGAGCGAATTTCCCAAAGAGCCTGCTCTGTTGGCCAGGATTCTCTCTCTCTCTTAAGCGCTGTTAGCTGTTTTAAGAGCTGTTCCTGCTCTTTCACTGTAAGTGCGGCTTGGCTCGACAGATTCAAGTTCTTAACAGCACAACATAAGGTTCGTTTTTCCATTACTTGGCCGTAGGTCAGTAATTTTTGTTGAAAACAAATACAAAACCCAAGCACGTGATGCCATAAATCATTTGTTTCGCCCGGAGTTTTTCCTGTTTGCAACACACTACTGCATCTGCATTGAAATGTTGCAAGATAGATTATGCATAAAGCAAAAGTAAATAACGACATATTTAAGCAATTTTGAAGTAACTCCTGCTCTTAATGTAATTATTTCGGATTTTTACTTTGTCTTGTCTAGTTTTTAAAGTTTAGCCTAATTGGAATAGAACAACAATACCCTTCGAAAGTATAATAATAATTATATATATTAAGATAATCAAGTCAGTCTTGATTTAATTATATTTCGATCATGGCCTGCCATTGTCGATAACGACTTAATCTTAAATTTGATTTGACGATTGTATCGCTGCACCTTTTTATTGTCACTTCTTGGCCAACAAACCGAATTCCCAAGCCAAAAGAGCCGATTATGAATTCAGCTCAGTCATCGAAGATCTAAGCAAAACGCCAACAAAAGGAGTCCCAATGAAAAGTACGAGAAAAACCAAAAATAAAAAGAGAAAAAGATACTTTAAGCCCGCTGCTGAGTGTGTGTGTG